TCAGCAGGTTGCAGATATGTGGTAGCTTAATGGAAGGTGGGACATACATAGAATCCAAACAGCTCTGTTATATTCATAAATGAGCTACTGATACGGAAGATCCACCCCAGAAACATTATGGCCTTTTATAGGCTGGTAGGGGTGAGAGGAACACTTCAGAATCATCTGCTAGCATCTAGGTTTTAAAAGCTGGCCAGAACTGCAGTAAACAGAGGTGGTTAGACAGAACTTACCAAACCCTGGTAACACTCCACACCCTCCTACAATGGGCTCACAAATTTTTCACTTTTGTCCCTGTTTAAGGAACAAGACTATCTCATGTGACCTATTTCTGGGTTGCACAAGGGCCTCCTGGTTCATCAAGTGCTGTACTTTAATAACACAAATATTAGAACAACAGTCAATCGGTACATTCAGAGGAATCTCAAGATCCCAGATGTTCTATTTCCAGTTGATGGAAAGGCCTCTGGAGGGGATGAAAATCTATCTGATAAGATCTTCTGAGAAAACAATTAGTGCCTTGGTGATTTTGGCTTGTATCATTTCGTATTTGTATAATAATGTTCTGTACCACAGGTCTAATCCTGTGTTCCTTCGTATAGCGAGTTTTATGAGTCTGAGGCTGATAGGAAGTATTATCAGAGCTTAAAGGCAGAGTTGCATCTTTGGACATACCTGGCTCTGGAAGGCTCAGTACAGAGGACAATAAGGCCTGCTGGCCTAAGTATTTGTTAGAGGAAGGATTCCCTGTGCAATCCTGAAAGACATGGAGTCTAGCTTTTACTCAAGCCCTGCAGGAAGCCTGCATTCTCTGAAAGCCTGATTCTAATTCATTCACTTCCATGTTTTGCTGCAGCCTGTGGTCCCTCGATGCACAGATTATCTGTGCTCCAGCCTGGAGTGAACCAAGTAGTTCCCTGAACCAAGAGACCCAGGCACAGAGCAAAGGACCGTTCATTCTAGTGCTTTGTGCTATAGACACTCCGTATGGAGGCTGAGGTCAAGAGAAATACTCAAACCCTTCAACTGTGGTGCACCAGTGCTCAGAATTGTGAGTTTTCGCTGCTTAGCCCTTGAGGTTCCTAAGTTCAGTCCTCTGAGTGAGGAGAAAAGTAATCTTGGGGTTCTCAGTCCTTGGGAAGGGCTGTAGTCAGCAAAATATCCTATTTTGATATGATGAGTAAATGACAGCTACTTCTCCTCCAGCTGTGCTTTAAAAGAAATTCAGCCTCTTCAAAGGAGAAATACTGATCCTGCATGGATGTGGCATGCACCCATGCATTGTGTAACTCAGGATCTCCCAAGGAACATCTTTCCTTCTCGTTAGTGGTAGACACCTCTGTGTTCAGTATGCATACTGCTCGGGATCACCAAAAGAGCCACTGGACTCTCCGCAGGTAGTGTGTAGGGCCTTATCTTCAGAATCCAGGTTCCACCCTGGGAACCAGCACCAAAAATGCAGGCATTGCAACACCTGCTGGGTGAGTTTCTAAGTCTCTTGATGGATCTAGGCTTTGGTAAGCACCTGTGGGATGATAATGAGATGCCAAAGGTGTGTAAAAAGATGAATCTGTGGATTTCTGATACAGGAATCAATTTTATCTTTCTTGGAATACTTTATAGGAAGCAACAGCAGGAAACTGTACAAAGAAAGAAACTAATTCAGGCTAGAGAAATCGCATGGGATGCAAATGTGTGATAATATTTGCTACAGTCCTCCAACATTCTCACCCTTTTCCCTGTGCTGGCAGTAAGGTTTTCTAGAGAGCTTGTCAAAGTTTCATTAGGTAAAAATAACTCTAATGTGACTCTGGCATGTCAAAATTATACTCCTCATTTTACTGCAGAGTTGGGTGGATTATATACAATGCAGTTTTTAAAATAAGCTTGTGCTGTATGTATCTCCACTGTATTTCAAGCTGTGAAACATCTGACATCAGCACACACTTGTTTCACAGTTTAGAGGAAAAGCATTGAAAACCACATGACACTGACCTAACTATACAAAATATCTCTTATAGACACTCATAGGCTACTACTACTGGTCCCCAGAGTGACGCTGTTTATACAAACAGCAGCTTGATTTGGCGTTATGTTGTGTTTATTTCTGTCTTCAGGTAAAAGAAGCTGTGCTTTCTGATATGCTGGAATTTTTCTTTTGTTCTTTATTTTTGTTCTGCCTGCATTTTAGTGTCTACTTACAAACTGATGGTATAATTATGGAATAACAGAAAATAATAATGGAAGGGGATCTATTAGAATGGCTTGCCTCTTTTACCAATGCAGAATTATTCTACAAATCAGTGTTTTCAGCCTTCTGTGATTTGTGATTCCCATAAAATTTCCAGCAGAGATACAGACCCTGCAGTTTATTGCAGGTTCAAGCAGACTGACAATAAATTTGCTTTTCTTACTGCCTTTTCAAAAACAGGGCTCTGTAATATACTTTCAAGTGCGATGTCCATCCTTAGGTAATAAATGAGGGTTTCACATATGTAATAGATCTTCTGGGTACTTTATTAGTGTCCAGTGGATCACTCTAAAAATACTGCTCTGCCTCTTTGGCTTTTTCTTTCCTCAAATATGCGTACCTGTCTGCTTCTCATTGCTCATCTCACCTCTTTCTAGCTATCTCAAAATTAGGCTACTGATCCAAACTAGTCATCTCAAGACCCTCTTAATGAAGAGAGTACATTGTCTTATCCTGAAATAGATGTTTAAAACAAATGGCTTGAACTGCTCGAGAAAAGTGCCTATTTCTCTCCCTCTATTATAGAGGGACAGACTTCAACCAACTGTTAAACTGTTAGAAATTTAAAACGGGATGAAAGGAATCTCTTGCCAAGGTAGTGGGCTATGCAAACACTCTCCCTTAATATGTTCACACGGCTTTATCTATCCAGACCCCTCATCAGTTTTGTTACTTCCTAAAACTTTCTCTCCGCTGTGTGATGTTAGCATGGTGAAGTGATGCTATGCCCTCTTGTTTGCTGTTCTCCCAGATCACCTAGAGAAAATGTTGTAACAGAATAATAACGCATCCAGCTTTAATTTTGCTTTCGTTTGCCGTGAGACTCACTTGAGAGACTTCTTTCACAAATGTTTAAGCTTCTGCACCCTGACAAGGGAAATTTACCAAAAAGGAAAAGAAAACCGAAGCATGTTCTGCATAGGTTGGTAAGATATGTGTTCCTTTATTTCTTTGTCTAGGAATTACAACTGTGCTGACTATGACAACAATCAACACTCATCTGAGAGAGACTTTACCCAAAATTCCATACGTTAAAGCCATTGACATGTATCTTATGGGCTGCTTTGTATTTGTCTTCTTGGCCTTACTTGAATACGCCTTTGTCAACTATATTTTCTTCGGAAAAGGCCCTCAGAGGCAGAAGAAACTTGCAGAAAAAACAGCAAAGGCAAACAACGATCGCTCAAAATTTGAAGGCAACCGGGTAGGATTCTTTAACCTATATATGGTCTGTCTTGTCTTCCTATTACAAAAGCTAATTGTAGGAAATAAACAGAAAAATCATGCATAAAAACAATGCAAACCACATCTCCTTTTTGTGGGCAAACTTTGGCATTTTTGTGTTCAAAAACCTAAACAGAAGAATTATATTTAGGCATGCAGAAAACTAAATGAGTATGATTTGCATGACAAGAAACTGTTAAGAAGAAAATGAAGGGAGTGCAGCTAGCTGGAAAATAAAAGCCTAGATCTACAAAGTCATTTATCTGTCTAAATCAAATCTAATTTCGTAGTGATTTGGTCTAAATACCTGCATGAGGGAATCCTGGATCTGAGCATACTTTTTCTCCCGTCTCTTAGAGCATATGTATTTAGAATGGGAGAAAACAAATAAAGGATTAGTTGTAGTATGCTAATTAATTGCCCTGCAGAGCTGAACTACTGCATATAGCATTCTCATCCGCTGCTCTTGAAGGCCAGCAGAAAATTAAAATTCCTAAAAGAGACTTTCAGACTGATTTCTGAGGCAGAGTGTTGGCGTGGTCAGTGCTCATTATACGCCAGCATATTTCCTTGCCTTGAGTATTACTTAATGCGATGAATTACTTTTTTTCCCTTTGAAAAACAGAAAACAAAAGCGATCATCAACACAATATGATATTAGCAAGGCATGTCAATTTCAGTAGAACATCTTTTTTTGGCTAAAATGGTTCCAATGCGGCCTTTCCGTTCAGTTCTGCGATGCAAGACTGTTTTTTGTATCATCTGTACATTCATTAAAAGAGTTCAAAGTGACAACACTACTGCCTGTTTATTAAACAGAAATATCACAGACGTAATTGCAATCTCTGTGTTATGATTCTAATGGTACTGGCTGCTATACAGCAAATGCAATACAGAACTACGCCTGATTGTCTCTGTGAAATATTTTTTGAACCGATAAACCCATTTTTGTCCACTATATTATGAAACCAGAATCTGCTCACAGTTGGCAGCACTGCTATAGGACTAAGCTAGCAAGAAGAATGAATTCCCTTTCTTTGAAAAATAGATAATGATAATAATAAAAAAGCAGATGGAAAAAGAGAGTATCACAACTGAAAGCAGTAGAGAAGATTTTTGCTGCAAGCAGGTAATGCAGATGTTTGCGCTAGGGTTCAGTTCTCCCAATGAGAGCCATCTGGCGAATATCATCTATTTAAATGATTAACATAATTCAGTATAGGTCTTATTAATGGCACCAATATCTCCCCACGTCTGAATTTTCTTCCTTACTGAGATCAGTTGGTCTATATTGTTAGAAGAAGCAAGAGTACCTTAACTAATGAAAATGAGGGGTTTTCATACCCAGATCGTGTCATGTTTATATCCCAGACCTGATCATACCATATGTCAACATTTTATCTCACTTTTGACTTACAACCGCTTCTTTTCTTTCTGGATCATCCTAAGCAAATAGTGTGGGTTGTTCTGAATTCTCTTCTGGTTTAATATCGACCGTGTGTGGACTGAACTTAAGATACAGATTCCGCACACCGGAGGTGAAATAAGAGTATGCTTCTTTGTTCCTTAAGGGTAAGGGAACTCTGTATACTTGGTTGAAACATATATACTAATAGTGAATGTGAATATTTGCTGTTCAAAGGCATTTAGGATAAATCACATGATGTGTTCCCATTCTGTGCGTTAAACATTTTGTCTCCAGGCCTCAGGTGGTGAAGTCAACAGAGCTGCATTGCGGTCACTGGAGTCAATGCCTTTAGAGGAGTGCTACCAGCATGCAACAGGCAAAGACAGGGACATTAGGTAGAGCTGATCATAAATCTTCTATTGGAGCAAAAAACAGGCAGAAGGTGCAGATTCAGTGGGTGTAGGATGTCTAATCTGAATTTCCTATTTGAGAAACACTAACCAAGCCAGAGGAGATAGCTCAGAGCATATCAACCCCATGGTTTTCAGTACCATCAGCTCAAGGGAAATGCATCTAGCAGAGCCACTTTGGACAAAGTGCTCCAGAGCACGCAGTTATCAGGCCTTACAGAGACCTCTGCCCTCAAGCAGGAAAACTGTTTCCACAGTTCTGGGCCATGCCCCCATGTACCATGCTATACAGGCATCCATGGATGTAGCAGAACAGGTGGTCATGCCAGAGTTTTAGCATATTTGCCATGAAGGAAAGTACCTAAAGCTCTGCAGTCTTGTCTCTGACCTCTTCAGGAGGAATAAAGAGGCATCGCATTCCAACCTTTTCTTCAGTGAGTCTTGAAGGTCATTGAGTCTGATGGAAATAATGGCTTCTTGGCCCTTGCTTGCTTCTTACTGTAGAGCTGTGACTAAGGAGCTGAATGTCCTGGGAGAGGCTCACAAACTGGAGGGCATACTGCATGGTAAGGGAATCTCAGAGCCATAGATTTAGACTACCTTTCGTGAGCTCAATGAAATGATAGTTTTTGTCATTTCAGTGAGGCTTCATGCTTCCATGGAGTCTCTTTCAGTTCAGAAAGGCAAGGTGTCTAACACTGGGAAATATTTCGTATCTAACATGATTTGGGCCTGACGTACATTTTTTTAAAAAAGGAAAGTGCCTGAAAACTGGAAGCACATTTGCAGTTATCTCCACTCTTTGGTGGCTGTCAAAATGTACACTGTAAGGGAAAGAAAAAGGGTTCAAATGTAAAACCGAGCAAAGGCACTTTTTTTAGTTTGTCTCTGAGACTACCATTTTGGGCTGATTTTGGTTGCTGTTTTGTTGTAGTAGTTGAATTTTCTTGTATATGAACTGTGTGCATGAACTCCCTGGCATTGATTTAGAGTCCTAGCTCAGGGCATCAGAAAAACAAACAAACAAACAAACAACGTGCAATTTATGGGCCACATCAAGGTCAGTAACCTATGGGTGTAGTGACAGAACAACTCTGTGTTCTGTCAGGTCCAGAAACTCAACCTGAGTCAGTGCTCACACAGGCAGAACTTGCAGAGCAGAGACAGCACACTGTATTGCCTGGACTCCAGGTCTTGAGTTTGACCATTGCTCTAGAGGTAACTGAGGCTGGGAGTGCTACTGAGGCAGAGGATTTCTCTCTCAGGCACAGGAAATAGGAGAAGAGAAAATGTCATGATATTTTCACTCAGGAGCATTTTAATTCATGGAAAGCTGTAAAACCAGCATGGAAACTGATGTTGCAGTTCATTTTGTACATGTCAGAGGACTGAAGCCTGGCATGCAAGCTACCAGGTTTGGTTGTAAACGCTCCACATATATGTGGCAAAAGGGCTTTTCATGCTTTTGTAGTCTGATTTGATTACAGAGCAGGAGACTTTTAATAACAAAAATGTTAAAGGCCACAAAATCCACAGCTTTGAGTATGAGTCTGTTTTATTTGATAATTGCTATGAAAAGCGGCCAATGTTGACACTCAGAAACTATTTCCTAATGAATCTGTTCACACTATACTGTGTCGGAGGGGTCTGGATTTGAAAAACTGACACTGTGGTACAGATAACTCTGGTTCTTACCATGGTGGTGGTGCTGCTACGAACACGTCAAGCTTTCAGGAGCATTTCTCTGCCACGCTGCTGACATGCTGTTGCTTAGACCTGCTGTGCCACGGAGGGCTCGGCCAGCTGCTGCTGAGCTGCCTGGCTGTGTCCCTGCTGCCCTGTACAGCCTCACGTCCAGTTCTGCCTCTATGTTGAAGCTAATGGGCACAGTAGCTCCAGGCATAAGGGAAAGAAGAGCCCTTGTAGCACACGAATGGCACAGCTGGTGTTGTCACATTGCAGAGGTGGCAAAGAAAAGCCAGGGGGAAAGGAAAACTGTGCCCTATTTTCTCCCATGTAGCACTATTTGAAGGTAGAACAGTGACTGAGGCATGTCTGAGTAACTCAAATCTCTGCAAATAGTTTCAGAATATTCAAAGCTGGTGATGAGATGAAACCCGAGAGAACCTTTGCAAGTGACTCATATAGGGATCAGTAGTTGACTACAAAGAAAATTTCATGCATAGCCATTTCTTCTTTTGACTCCTTTTTCATCCTATTTTATTTCCGATAACACACCTGAAATAGTATTCCTCTCTGAGCTTTTCCAGCCTACCCCACCAAACCCTGGTTACTGGAGAGAAGCATAGAGAGATGCTCTTTCTTTGCATGAACTTTGTACTGGTACCAGTTTAGTGTTGAAAACCTCGATACACTGGCCTCATATATGAGGACAAGCTCTAGGAAGAACTGGATTTTGATTTTTCATAAAATCTTTTGCCAGTGGTATTGGTGCCTAAATTAAAGTCCTGTGTTTATGGAAGAATTTGACACAAAAGAATGGATGGCCTGTAAAAATGTTTTCCCTTGAAAACTGATCACCTGTTTCTCAGATCAATTCTGTTTGTCCTATTTGTGTTGATAGTTGCAGGTTTAATTTGTAGCTCTCTGCACTTTCAGTTTTGTTGAATAAATTGTTTCTTTTAAATAAGGCTCAGATACAGCCTAATTTACAACTGAGTCAGCACGAGAGAGCTCTAAGGCAATGCTGTTCTCACTTGTTGTTCGCTCTTGTGGTAGAGGCTTCTGGCAAATCAGCTGGTGAGCATGTGTTTTGGGCATTGCTCCTTCTGGGCCAGTCCACAGAGGTTATGATTTGTTAACAGTCCCCAGCTGAAAATATTGCTGCTTAGTTCAAGCTGTGGCAATTTACGTTTTCCATTTGGTGGGACCAAGAGTGCAGCCCCAGGGTATCAATCAGGAGGGTAGCTATCACACAGGCTCATTCAAGCTTCAAACCCCTGTGGCTGCCAGACATGTGGGAAGAGCTTCCTTTGAGCAGAAATAATACATAACCCTTTGTAAAAAGGCCCTGCTAGTTCAGCAGTACTGCATGTTTTTTCGCTCTGCAGATCCCTAGTTCAAACTCCCACTGTTGGCCACAGCTTCCCATCAGGTGTTACTTAGAATATGAGGCCCAGGCCGCTTACATCTACTTAGAGC